CCTGCTAATTACTAGAGAGTTTTAATTAAGCCACAGATACAGACCAGGCTCTGTTTTTACTTTAAACATATCAATAGAATAAACATTCTCAATTCCAGGGCAACTTGTTAAATGAAAAAAAAAAATAAACATTATTCTTCTCTTTTGAAATATCACTCATCGAGTGTGATCGTTTAGAAAAATATCTCTATTAGAGATAGTTAGAGAGATTTTTTTGGTTGGAAATGGAATCGCCGATGGAGCACTGAGCTGCAATTCGTAGACAGGTTAAGTAAATTAAATCACTCACTGTCTTTTTTTTTTTTTCTCCAATGGCTTTAAAAGTTAAAGGTAATTTGCAAAGAAAATGCTCAGTTTGAATTGGTTTGTAATATCTGTTAATGATCTTTAAAAAAATCCACTTATTCACAATTCTGTCCCTGAGGGAATTCCAATGTGCTATCAGAAAAAATTTCTAAAGTCTAAAAATGTCATTAGCTAGTGATTTCTTTGAAGTAAAAAGCCCTGAAAAAATAAATTATATAAGGTATACAAGTGCACAGGACAATCACTTTGATGAATAATATCTATGTTTTTCATAATGTTTCACACCAAAAAAAAATGCAACAATTGAAATCCAAGCTGCTAAATTATAGAGCTGTCTTTTGAATTACCTGAGTGTAGGCATACCTTCTGTTTATTTCACACATATATTGAGTTCTTCCCTATATTTATAGATTGTTGATGTAAAAACAGTAGTGTTCGGAACAATTTTGATTATATTCATTGTACTTACCTTTTGGAAACACAAGATGTTGCTTAAATCCAGGCTACAGGTGCTGGCGTCAGAGATGGAAACAATAGCCTATTTTAATACAGTCAGCTACACCTAGAGCCCAGGTGCTTTCCATGGAGGTGCAAATACTATGCAGCCTGGAGACTTGTTCAATATTAGATAACAAGAGCTGTGAAATACTACACCAAAGGGAAAATTTTCTTCCTGACCCCGGCTGGCCATCAGTTTTTGCCTGCAAGCAGGGGAGTCTTTGTAATACAACACTAGTTAGTGTAACTGCAGATGCCCACTGCCATCAGTAGCTAATTTCTTTCTTTTTTTTTTTTTGAGGGAGGAGTTGGATTTTACTAACCGCTGACTACAGGGATAATGATACATTTCACAAGAAAGCATTTTCTTGTAGCCTGCCTAAATTTGTTACTATTTTTTTTTTTTTGGACTGAGGATCCAACCCAGGGGTGTTTAACCACTGAGTCTCAGCCCCAGCCCTTTTTTATTTAGAGATGGGGGTCTCGCAGAAATGCTGAGGGTCTTGCTAAATTGCTGAGGCTGGCTTTGAACTCACGATCCTCCTGCCTCAGCCTCCTGAGCTGCTGGAATTACAGGTGTGCACCCCAGCGCCCAGCAGTTTATCTTTTAATCCATTTTATATAAAACTAGAAATGCAGGAGCATCCAGTAGGCACTTTATCATTGTCACTGTTTTATTCACTGTGTTTTAGGGTGACCTCTCTTTTTCCCCCCTCTTAAAGCATTACCTCTTCTCAAGGGAAGGGTGTCCTCATTTCATTCATTCTTTTTCATGGGGACGGCATTTGTCTTCCTCCTAGGCCAGAACGTCTAAAGTCATATGCATCGTCCTTATTTTCTGTTCTGTGACTGAATCAGGGAAGCAAAATGAACACAGGCAAGAACAAACCTGGTCACGCAATTGAACTTTGATTGTTTTTGATCAAGACATTCTGCTAGGGTCTGGGTATCGGGTTTTAAAAAATATACATTATGGGCTTTTATTTGTAACAAAATCATGCCATTTACAAGAAGATGGATGGAACTTGAAAGATCTATGTTAAGCAAAATAAGCCAGACTCAGAAAGTGAAGCATGATGTACTTTTTTTTTCTTTTACAAAATTTTTTTTTTGTTTCGTTTTAGTTACACATGACAGTAGAGTGCATTTTGCCATATAATACATACCTGGAGTATGGCTTCCCGTTGTTGTGGTTGTACATGATGTGGAGTTACACTGGTCGTGTATTCATACACCAACATAGGAAAGTGATGTCCGGTTCATTCTACTGTCTTTCTCATTCTCATCTCCCCTCCCTTCCTCCCACTCCCCCTGTTCAATCTGGAGAACTTCACTCCTCATCCCCCCAACATTGTGAGTCAGCATCTGCTTTGCATATCAGAGAGAACATTCTCAGGGGACCCCAGTTAGTTTCTTTGAGAGTGAATTATTATAAAAAAGTAATACAGGACCCTTCCCTGGCTTACTGTCTCACCATATGATTTCTCCCTCTTAGAATCACTTGCACCATTGTGATGCTGTTCAACAGGAGGCCCTTGCCAGAGCAGAGCTGATGCCAGCACCATACTCTTGAACCTCCAGAGCTGTGAATTAACTAAACCTTTTTTTCCTTATAACACATCCAGACTCAAGTATTTTGTTATGGCAGTGGGAAAAGGATTAATACTCATCTTACAAAAATTTTGCTTCATTCCCCCCATCTACTTCATATAAGAAAATGGAAATCAACATTTGAAACTTTTAAATTAAAGCTTTATTGGTGTTCCACATATGGAAGGTAGAAAGAGCAGAAGCATGTGATTCGATGCATTAATCTACAATGAACACATCCTATGTCCTGCCCCTTGCCAGGACAAGAAAAAACACATTGCCAATGTCGCTGATCGTCCCTGTAATGGAATTCCATCTTCCTCCTTAAAGATAACTACATTCCTGACCCTTTTTTTTTTTTGTACTAAGGATTGAACCCAGCAGGGGTGCTTAACCACTGAGCTACATCCCCAGCTCTTTTTATTTTTAATTTTGAGGAAGGGTCTTGCTCAGTTGCTTAGGGCCTTGCTAAGTTACTAAGTCCAGTAGCTATCCTCCTGTATCAGCACGATTACAGATGCCATCGTGCCCAGCCACTTTTCTGATATCAAACACCACAGATTTGTTTTGCTTTTTTGAAACTTCATATAAATGGAATGCTACAATAAGTTGCCTTTTTAAAAAAAAATTTTCATTTTATTATGGTAAGAATACTTAACGTCAATGGGTGGGTGTGCTTTTGAGTTAGTTAGGATTCATTCTCTTAATGTTATGTTGTAAGAACTGCATCTATGTTGTTGGGTATCATTGTGGTATATTTTCCTCATATTTTCTTGCATGGTACCCTGACATGCCATGTATACCACAGTGTATCCATTTTACACTTGATGAACATTTGGGTTGTTTGAGTGTTAGGCTGTTTCAGAGAGCACTGCCGTAAAGTTTCTTGTGAACATCTTGGTCCGTGCGTGCATGTATGCTGTTTACTCTATATATAGACTAAAAGGGAAATTACTAAATTATAGGGCACGACTAAGCTCAGCTTCAATAGTTGATGCCAAATAGCTTTGTAAAGAGACTGTCAGTTTCACCACCAGTGGGTGAGAGTGACAGCTGCTGTACAGCCTTGTTAGCACTTTTTGATTCTGGTCATCCCTGTGGTATAGGGTAGACTGTCATTGTGGATTTAATTCAGTTTTGTGGACTGTTAGTACATTCGGCATCTTTTTGTCCAGGTACTCAGGCCATTTGGATATTCTTGAAAAGAGTGGTCTTTTCAAGACGCCTGCTCATCTTTATATTGGATTGCTGTCTTTCCTTTTTGATTTATAGGACATATTTAGATATTCTAGATATGAACCTTTGGGTTGCATGTGTGGCAAATGTATGCCACTCTGAGCATGAGTGTTCCCTACGTGATGTCTGTGGATGATGAGAGGATTTTAGTTTTAAGATAGTATGTGGGGTTAGTGTTTCATTGCTGTGACAAAATAACCATGAAAAACAACTTAAAAAAGGAAAGAGGAAAGGCTTATTTTAGTTCACAATTTCGGGGGGGGGGGGTGATGAGAAGGAAAGGTGAGCCAGATATAGTCCCCACGTGCAGAGCCCCAAGGACCTACCCCTTCATCTAGGTCCCATCTCCCACAGTTTTCCCTACTTCCCAATACTCTATTCAGCTGTGACCCATGAATGGCTTAATCCTCTGATGAGCTGTGTGACCTTATTATCCAATCCCTTCCAAAAAGCACCACCTCTGAACATTGGAACCAAACCGTCAGCATGGGAACCTCTGGTACATTCCAGATCCACACCAGCCTATTTAATCGATATTCTCCTCTAGGATTAGTACCTTGTATATCCTCTGTAAGAGAGCTTTGCTTACCCTTACCCTAATGTCATGAAAGTGTCCTCTTGTATTATCTTCCAATAACTTTATTTTTTCACTTTTTATATTCAGATCTATAGTCCACATGGCATTGATGGATTTTATTTTTTCCCCTGCCCTCCCTTCCTCCCTCCCTCCCTCCCTCCTTCCATCCTTCCTTCTTTCCTGGGCTGGGATTGAACTCAGGACCTCACATGGGTTAAGCATGCACGGTGCCACTGAGCTATACCCACAGCCCATGGCACTAATTTTTGTGGGTGGTGTGAGGTTGGGATCAAGTCTGATTTTTTTCCCCACCATTTATATCCACTTATTGTGCCTTACACAATTATTTCCTTTCCCCAAATGTTCTGCACTATACTTTTACCATAAACTAAATACCTGCTTTACTTATGTAACCATCATTTGACTTTCCCCTTTCTTCTGTTAGTCTAGTGAATTATTCAATGGGCGCTTGAATGTTAAGATACGTTTGTATTTTGGACTAAACCCAATCTGATTGCGATGTGTAGTTTATCTTATATATTCCTGCAGGTGTTTTGTTCATGTTTTTTTGAAAAAAAAAACCCAATTTTTAGAGCCAAGTTTATTAATTAATTCACTGTAATGTTCTTGTCAGTTGTGTTACCAGGTTTACCTGACTCATAAAATGAGATTAGGAGTGTCTTTTTAATAAAGTATTTTAGAAATTAAAATATAAGTGAGTCTAATCTAATGCAGTGACTAAACATGTATGTAGTTTGTTCTAAATGTTTGACACGGTTTTCTTTCTTCTCAGGCTTCTGCTTGTTCTTAGACTTGCAAAAGAAACCCAATTTGGTGCGAATTTTGCATGGGAAAGTAGAGTTGGACGGTCAGCTGGGGTTCCCGTAGGTCATACAGCAGCATGCTCCTGTGTCCAGGGCTGAAATTTGGTACTGCTTTTCTGTTCTGGAACCCACGATCAAGGCCCATCTGGATTTAAAAGCGAAGCTATAAGGTGAGAGGGCAAACATTCAGATAAAACACCTGATCCCCATCAAGAATCCTCAAAGCTAATTTTATCTCCAACTTTTGATCCCTACAACCACGGTTCCACAGAAAAAAAAACTCTGGATGCCCTTTGGTACCGTGTGTCTTACCCATCCCGTGTCTCATTCAGGGCTAATCTGCTGTCACCCGTTGTCCATCTGGGGCATTAGCGGATCACCTAAGCTCCACTTCGTCCTCCTCCCAGCTGTTCGACATCCTGCTGAGGAGGTGACTGCGTTAGCCTCCTGCTGAGCACTGAGTGGTGGTGTTTGCTGTACAAGATGAATTGGGCTCATGGACATGGCATAAGTTCTTCTGTGACCCGGTATTTTAGTTTGTTTTTAACTTTTGTGGTTCTGGAGGCCAGGAAGTCCAAGATGGAGGGGCCAGCAGGTTTGGTGTTTGGGGCAGGTAGCTTGCTGGTGCAGCCACACATGGTGAAAGAGCCAAGGAGCTCTCTTGAGCCTCTTTGATGAAGATGCTGATCTTATTTAGGAGGTGGAGGCTTGTGATTCAACCAATTCCTGGAGTTCCTACTTCTTCATACTATCACAATGGATACTAGCCTTCAATGAATGAATTTGGAGAGGACACCAACCTTCAGACCGCAGGACCTGGCTCTGATTTGCCTCCCGGGCTTGCTCTCTCACCTCATTCTGCCTGTGGCTTCAGGTGCATCTGCTGGCTCGCTCTGGGTGCCTCGCTCACACAGTGCTGATCTTTCTCTCTGGAGTAGACTATCCCCATCTTTCTCCTGGGCAATCTATTCTTTCATAACCAGCTCAGGCTGGATACAATCATCCCCGCCCAGTTGGGATGCTTGGGTCTCCGTTCTGTGCCTTCTGTGTCATCAGATAGATAGTGACATTAGCTAGGCACAATGGTGCACGCCTGTAATCCCAGAGACTCAGGAGGCTGGGGGCAGGAGGACTGCAAATCCAAAGCCAGCCTCAGCAACTTAGTGAGGCCCTAAGCAATTTAGCGAGACCCTGTCTCAAAATAAAAAATTTAAAAAATGGGCTGGAGATATGGCTCAGTGGTTAAGGTGCCCCTGAGTTCAATCCCGGGTACCAAAAAAAAAAAAAAAAAAAAAAAACCAAAAAGATAGTGAGCTCTTTGTGGGCAGAGTCTAGTCATCTATGTACACCAGTAACTTTTTGTGTGCTTGTAGGTAACAGTTGCTCAGTAAACACTTGTAGATCCCAGCAGCAGGAGCAACAGTGACGAGCTGTTATTTATTTATTTATTTTTTTTGAGTTCTACTTTATCCCTTTTTGGAAGCCTGAGATGGAAGAAAATGGCCAAAATGCTATGACCAGAAAGGAGACAGGAAGTCAAAGGTTTTGGAAAAATGTGTAGATACAATATCTTCCTGTTTTTCTGAGTTCGGTCCAGCTGATTAAAATCCTGGTGGGAATCCTTTTTTTTTTTTAGGGTGGATTAGCAACCTTCTGGGAAGGTGGATTTCTCCAGAGAAACGCATTGGAGCCATTTAAGAATTCCAATGGAAAAAAAAAAAATCCTACTTACCAGGCAAATTGATAAAGATTCCTTCCCTTTCTCTTATGAATAAAAGAGTTTACACAGAAACTCTCGAAGCGATTGTGTGAGGGATTCACAAGGATCACTAAAATCTCCACTAGACCTTCACTTTCACTTTGTAAAACTGCCTACACCCTGAAAAAAAACGGCATCATACAAAAAAATGGACTTTCCGGGGCTTCCCTATGAATGGGTCCTGCTGGCTGCACACTGGGGCCATTCATTTTATTTGGCCCATTTATCGCAAGTACATTCTAAATTTGGCCTTAATTATTTTTCCTTTCACAAAAATATTTTGTGGGATCTTTTTGAACCTTGGCCACTTCCTACTTGCCCCTTCAAACAGAAGCCAGGAGTGTTATTTTTGTTCTCTTCTAATTAAAATAATTGCTTGGTTCCTTTTAACTAGATTCATGCCGTTATTAGCCTAATACGTGGATGGGTGCCACGGGGTGCTTGAGAAACAAGACGAAAAGTGATCATGGAGCTTCACATGAAAAAGGTTCTGCCGTGCCAAGGAGCATTATTTCCTTTCAGCCAGTGTTTCATAAGGGTCTTTCGTCAACCTGGCCCCCCATACCCTTCCTAAAAGGCTTGCTCAGGGAAAGAATAGTTCTATTTTCTTTAGGAAGGTATACAGCCAGCTCCGTACAGTTTGAAGAGCGGCACTTGATGTGCTGAGTGTGGCACAAAGACCTCGGCTCTGGGTTTAATCTCTGCCCCTGCTTTGTCTTTCAGAATAACTGCAGTCGAAGGACAAATCCCCCATGTCCCCTCTGCCAGTGGGTGCTCATCAAAGGACAGCGAAGGAAGAGAAAGTGCCTAGATGCGTGCACCCGTCAAGTGTCGTCGAGACTGCAAATGCCAAGTGTGCAAAGGACTCTTTATTTTTTTATTTTTGGGTAGCAGGAATTGAACCCAGGTGTGCTTAACTCCTGAGCCACATCCCTACTCCTTTTTATTTTTTTATTTTGAGACAGGGTCTCGTGAAGTTGCTCAAGTCCTCTCTAAGTTGCTCAGGCTGGCCTGGAACTTGCGATCCTCCTGCCTCAGCCTCCTGAACTGCTGGGATGATAGGCATGGGTCTCCCCACCAGGCTCAAATGGCATTTTGACAAGACTTTTCTCAAAGGCGATGGGGTCTCAGGGTTGGCAAACAAGGCTCTGGGGACACCTCCGACTGTTGCCTGTTTTTAATGAAGCCTTCTTTGGAGCGCAAGCACACCAGTTGATGTATTTTCTGTGGCTGCTTGTCACCGCATCAAGGAGTTGTGACAGACCATGCAGCCTGCCAAGGCTAAACCATTTATGATCTGGCCCCTTATAGAAAACGTTTGGATGCCTGATGCCCTTCACCCCGTTCACTGTGTATCTATTAAGATTACCTCAGTGTAAGTCGAGGATCAGGGTCAGCTCTCCCTCTGGCTGCTACCTGGAGAAGGTGTGGACGTGGCAGGAACAGTGGCCTGGGGTCCACCTTTACTAACTACGTCAATACTGTACGGTTGTCGACGTTGCGGACTTCTGCTTCCACGACACAGATGGACCCCTTTTGGTACCAGTTGGTGTTTGGGAGGAGCAAGTGAGAGAACGTGAGTCCATGTGTTTTTAAGATCATAAGCTATCTGTGGTCTAGATATTATCTGGAAAAATAACAGCATGAGTGTTATTATCTTTATTTGGCATATAAGGAAGTGAGACTTAGGTAGGATGCCCAAGACCAAGGAGTAAACCAGTAGGCGCTCTGAATGTTAAGTTTCTAGCCTTCAGACACTGCTATTTCCAGCACATCATAACGTATTTTATATTGTGTACTTTTTGGAGGGGGGGGGGTACCAGGGATTGACCTCAGGGGCACTCGACCACTGAGCCACATCCTCAGCCCCATTTTATTTTTTATTTAGAGACAGGATCTCACTGAGTTGCTTAGCACCTCACTTTTGCTGAGGCTGGCTTTGAACTTGTGATCCTCCTGCCTCAGCCTCCTGAGCCGCTGGGATGATAGGCATGTGCCACGGCGCCTGGCAGGTGTACTTTCTATGGCTTTAAAATGTCCAGTCCTGGCTTAGACATTTAGATCAGAGGTAGAGTACCTGCCCATCATGTGTGAGGACATGGGTTTCATCCTGGCACTGAGGATTAAAAAAAAAAGAAATAAAAAAAGGTCCAATCCTTTAGTTAATTTCTTTGTTATCATTCAACATTATTTAAGAGCTGGAAAAAGCAGGACTTTGCAGAGATGGTGATGAATGGGTAAAGAAGAGATGGAGCTGGGTGGGGTGGTGCATGCCTGTGATCCCAGGAATTCAGGAGGCTGAGGCAGGAGGGTTGTGAGTTCAAAGCCAGCCTCAGCAATTTAGTGAGGCTCTAAGCAACTCAGGGAGACCCTGTCTCAAATAAAAAATAAAAAAGGGCTGAGGATGTGGCTCAGGGATTAAGCACCTCTGGGTTTAATTCCCAGTACCCTCCCCCAAAAAAGGTTGGAAGATTTTTCAAATCATTTTGTTTGTTGTGGCTGAAATCCTCCTCCTGGTTTTCTCTGTGTTGCCCAAGGGGATGGCCTTTCTTGTGGTGTGGAGTAAGAGAGAAGAGGTGAGATGGAAGGGGGAGACCCATCCTGCTTGCAGTAGTTTGGATCTTGAATGTCCTCTACAGGCTCATGTGCTGAAGGCTTGGTGTCCAGTGTGACATTATTCGTAAAAGCTTTAAGAGATACCACCAAGTTGGGGGTCTTCAAGTCACTGGGGATGAGCATTTGAGGGGGATATCGGGACCCCGGCCTCTTCTTCTCTCTTTCTTTTATCACAGTCATGAAGTGAACAGTTTTGTTCTGCCGTGCACCCTTAGCATGCTGGGTTGCCTCGCCACAAAACTAAAAGCAATGAAATTGACCACTCATAGACCGACACGTCCAAAACTAAACCAAAATGAACCTTTCCTATTTTTAAGTTGATTATCTCAGGTGTTTTGTCATAGTAATTGAAAATTGACTAACATACTGTCATATTACAAAATGTTGCTAGACACCTTGTTTTATTTTTTTGTGCATGAGTGCCCAAGTTCATGTGTATGTACCTGTCATGAGAGGCAAGAGTGATACTGAAATGTGGATAGCAGATTGTACCAGCAAGTAAATGATGGAGACAATCTACGTGTAGGGAATTTAATAGTTATGATTTTTACATAAAGTTGAAGGGAGTTCATGTGAAAAATGATTCAATATGAATTGTCCAGATAAATAATATCAATTAAACATGGCTGTGCTAGAAGTGGCCTTATTTAACTATGCTATTAAATACAGTCTTTATTCAGATTATATTCGCTCAATAACATGTAATTTTTGAGATGATGATGATGATCACATGTGCTTAGAGTAAGCATCTACCACCAAAGAACGGAACTTGCCTTGTCAAAGAAATGTAAATTCTTAAATGTCTCCGTTTTTGATATTCACCCTTTGAACAAGAGAAGTTTGCCAACATCTTCTTCATATTCAATGTGTTTGGATACTTGTTCTTTTCAGATTTATCCCAGAACCTAAGAGTCATATGATTGTCTGAAACAAAAGTGCCAGTGGAGTTGCGTATGAGAAAGCCAACCTTCCAGAATCTTCCATTGTACAAGAGTCACCATCAAAACCTCTGAGAGGTACAGTAGAGAGTCCTGCCCTATTCCCCCCGCCTACCCTGACACAGGCAGCCATAGCCTTGCAGACTGAACTCGAAGGTGGTATTAACCCATTCTGTGATTTCCCATGAAGTCGCATTACTCCGAGTTATCCCTAGGATCCAGGACATTGCTCTTTTAAAAAACGTAATTTGTTTCAGCACATTAAAAAGCATTTTCATGTCAGGACTTGGGGTTGCTGCAGATAACACTTTTCATCTGTGAGGAACTTGCAGGCATTAATTTATTTAGCTTTCTTAAAACAGGAAACTTTTTTTTTCTCATTAGCTACAGGATACATTTCTTTTTCTGATTCTATTCATTTAGTAGATGTTCTACTATAAAATCATCTCTATGTTAGTACTGTTTCACAGAGGGGGAAATAAATCTTTTAATGCCGTATAAAATCCCACTGCGATAGATGATCATTTCCTCAGCACGTAAATTTCTCTTTTCATGATTAAGCAATATTCTGGGAAAAAAAAGTTGAAGCTTCTTGAAAGCTGTAGGAACTGTTGCTGTATTGCAGCTGCTACTGTCATTCTTAGGGTGTGCCCTGTTTTTAATGGGTTACCCATGGTACTTTCTGGGTTCCCCAGAAAACAGAGGTTAAAGAAAGCCTCACAGGCTTCCTATTTAGTGGAGAGTTCAATCTCAGAGCAGAAGGAGTGTGGGAGAAGGAACGTGTGGCTGAAAGGAGAGGGGCAGATACAGGGTGTGTGGCTGGTGTGGCCATCCTTGGGAAGGAAGCATAATTTCTAGTTAGATTTCTGTTACTGTAACAAATGCCTGGGATACTTAACTTAAAATGAGAAAAAGGTTTATTTGGTTCACGGTGTTGGAGATGTCAGTTCACGATCGCTTCACCCTGTTATTTTTGGGCCGGTGATGGGGTAACACATCTGGCAGGAATAGGTTGACCTCATGGCTGGGAAACAAAGGAAAAGGAAGAAGGGACTGGATCTTGTTATTTCCTTCAAGTGCATGCCTGTTCATGACCTAAAGACCTGCATCTAGGCTCCGTCTCCTAAGGGTTCCACCAGGTCCCAATAGCACCAGCCTTAGAATCAACCTTTATATAAATATCCTCCCCACCACATATATGTATTTTTTTTTCTTTTGGTATCAAAGGTTGAACCCCAGGGCCTTTAACCACTGAACCACATCCCCAGCCCTTTTTACTTTTTATTTTGAGACAGGGTCTCATTAGACTAAACGTTGGCTTTCCGGGAAATGTCTGCATTTGATCTCTGGGACCTGTAAATGGTACCTTATGTGGTGTCGACTGCAGATGTGATTAAGGAGTTTGAGATCAGGGGATTACCCTGGATTTTTCAGGTGGCTGCTAAATCCCACTATCAGTGTCCTTATGAGAAAGAGACAAAGGCATATTTGACATACAGAAGAGGAGGGACCCGTGTGATCAAGGAGACAGAGGTCGGGGTGTTGTGGTCGTAAGCCCAGGACTGTGGTAGCCACCAGCAGCAGAGGAGGCAAAGGAGGAATTCTCCCTGGAGCCCCTTGAGGCAGCAAGTCCCCGCAGATACCCCGATAGCAGCCTAGTGACACCGATTTCAGACTTTGGGGCCTTCAGCACTGTAAGATAATTCACTTCTGTTGTTTTCAAGCCACAGGTTTGTGGTGATTTGTTACAGCAACTATAGGAAACAGATACAGAGATCATCTTCCCTGAGCATGAACTATGAAGACTCAGGATAGACTGATTGGGTGGAGGGAGAGGGAAGAAAGGAAAAGAATCTGCCAGTTCTGACCCAAACCGTTGGCAAACAGTTTTTCTTGTGTGACATGAATATTCCTTCATTTTTTCCTCTTATCTCCAGATTGAGTATGACGGGGCTTCAAGCTTTGCTGGGGTATCTCATGCTTCAGGGGTAACAAAATCCTAGAGTGGGAGGAGCCAGGGCAGTCAAGGGGCCCAAGGAGAGGGTCTATGGGCTCATGTCCTGGGAAGTCTCCTGTGGTCTGCTGGATCGAAATAAGTGGCCAGTGGCCCAGTGCAGTGTGGCCACATTGGCATCCACGAGGAGGCTGTGTAAGGGTGGGGGCTTGAATTCCAGCCCATGGTCTCTTTAGTCTTTACCACATTTCCACCTGCAGATGTGAGCTGGTGTCCTTACCAGGTGCTTGCTCCCCAGACTTGGAAGCTTCTAGCTGTTGGAGTTTGCTGCCCCTCGGGGCTGCACATCAGTCTTCAGATGTAGGAACTAAAGTCTCTTTCTTGACTTGAGTGTAACCCCACCTTCTCGTAGCCTCCTGTGATGGGCAGTAGTTTTACTTCTTGATGCACTTCAAATGAGGCTCAGTGTCACACATACAGGTGCACTCCATATATCCAAAGAGTTTTTAATATTTTTTTTCCTACCAGGCAAAACCCTCCATTCCTTTAACTTGGAGGAGAACTTTTCATGGTTAGTGATGACCCCACCAACCCCCACTCCTCTGAACAAACTTCCATTTTTGTCTCCCTCCTACTTTATGGGGCAGCTTAAAGAATACACCAGAATTTCAGGTGTGATCTGCTCAACCTGCAAGACTCAGGTTTCACTAATGTAACCAGAGATTGGTTTAATTTAATTTAATTTTTTGGCAAACACATCATTTTTAGTTGTACTACTCTAATTGTTGGTTAAAGTGCTCTCTTCTTAAACTTGGGAACAGAGGGGCTTTATGGAAGCACAAGGTCTTGTTTGGTTTTGTATTAAGGATTGAACCCAGGGGTGCTTTATCTCTGAACCACATCCCCAGCCCTTTTAATTTTTTGATTTTGAGATAAATAAGTTGCTCACTAAGTTGCTGTACCTGTGATCCTCCTGTGTCAGCCTCCGAAGTCACTGAGGTTATAGGTGTGTACACCCACGCCTGGCTGGATGGTCTTACAGCCACCTGGAGAGCCTGACAAAGAGAATCTACTTACAAATAGTATCACTGTAGGTTAAAATCAAAATGCTACCCCACATCAATGCATATAAATATTCCCTTAGTTTTATTCTAGGTGGAGGTCACTTGGTGATTCCTACAGGCTGGCACCAACCAGCCCTGCAAGGTCAGGAGCATTCTCACTAGACTTCTTCCCCTGCTACCTCCTTCCACCCCCCAAATAATTATGGAGCACCTACAAGAGGAAATCTCCAGGGGTAGAAATCTCTTTCATCACACCTCCAGTTGGAAGCACTGATTTGGATTCTATTCCTGGTTGAATCAAGTATCCACAATCTTCTGTAAGAAGAGGAACCATTGCCATACTGAAAAGGGCTCATGTAGGTAGGCACTGTCCATCCGATATCCTCTGTGCCAGTCAGTTTTCTGTTACTGTGACAAAATACCCAAGAAAAACAACTTAGAGGAGGAAAGATTTATTTTGGCTCACGGTTTCAGAGGTTTCAGTCTATGGTTGGCTGGATCCATTGCTTTGGGCTTGTGGTGAGGCAGAACAGCATGGAAGAGGGGATGGTGGAGCAAAGCTGTCCACCTCATGGCAGAAGAAAGAGTGAGAGAGAGAGAGAGAGGGAGAAAGAGGGAGAGAAGGGGTTCAAGGACAAAATATATGCTTCAAAGGCCTGCCCCTAGTGCCCCTACTTTCTTCAGCTGGGCTGCATCATCTAACAGCCCATCCAACTGTGCACTCATCAATGGATTAATCTATTGATGAGGTCAGAGCCCAATCACTTTCCCAAAGCCCCACCTCTGAACATTGCTGCATTGGGGGGCCGAGCCTTCAACGCATGAGCCTTTAGGGAACAATCCAGACCCAAACCATAACATCTTCCTTGTTCTTCATAGCAACCCTGCAAGTCGGGTTCTCATTTTACAGAAGAGGAACTTGAGGATCATTTCCAAGCAATTTTTCCTAGGTCACGGGATTCCAGACCCCATGTTCAGACTCAGGTGTATCAAGTGGTATCCAAATTCAACATGGAGCCAGGGAGAGGAGAGCAACCCTTGGGTCTCTGCAGGTGGACTGAGCCAGAGTTGACCCTTCTGGGCCCCCTGAAGGAGCTGAGTATCACAGTGTTGGTCCAGAAAGACTGAGCTGACAGTCTGTCTCTGCGACTGGGCCTCCTGGAGTCCAGTGTGTTTAGGAAGTAAGGTCCTGTGCATTCTGTCCCAGCCTCTGCTGTGCACGACTGTGGGAGTTTTGTTGGCTTAACATCTATTCACCAGGCATTTCTCTTAGGCCAAACCAGGCTAGGGATGGAAAAACAGAGGCCCATGGGGTAGGTCATGCAGCCCATGAGGGAGTTGAATTAGAGGCCTTGGAGTCTGAGCCTTGTGGTGGACACCCGGCATGAGGACTTCCTCTGGGCTGTCTGCCCAGACTGAGGGGTTCTGGAGTCCATGAGGTGGGATAATATTTTATTAAACACTTTCCAACTTTCAATATCCCAGTTTTCTTTTTTACCTTTAATTCGTTCAAGCAGCTAAGTCAGGGCCTTCTTGTGGCTTCTGGGGAGGAAAGTGACAGCGAAAACAGTTTTCTGATGGAGGCAGATTCTTTAGGATGACCCCTCAATGTCCTCTCTCGTCTGCTGTCAGTCATTCGCCTGCTGTGGAAAGTACAAAGTTACAAACTCACCTTCGGGACTCTCTGCATCCTGGGGTACTTGGATGCCTCCAGTGCTGGCCGGCAAGATGGAAGCCTGGGTCTCCTGTAGCTGCTTCCGTCAGTTCTGGCTCCTTCCTGCTTACAAGCATGTGATCCTCAGGGCACAGCTGCCGTTGCTAAGCTGTAGCCAGGTTGCAAGCAGAGACAGCCTGGTTCCTTGACTGCATCTTAGAGCACTGGGCAGACATTTTTTATGGGGAGACTTGAGAGCATGTCAAGTCTGTGGGGAGGTGAGGGGTCATGATGGGCAGGCATCTAGAGAGAAGGAGACCTGTCCTTGCTCTCCAGACCCTGGGCAAAGGTCAGCAGGGCAGAACGAGAGCCTGTGCAAAGTTGTTTGGGTGACCCGGTGTCTGTG